TCCTCGGTGCAAGACACATGAAAGCCCGCATGGAGTTGTGAGATGGTGAGAAATAAGATTCTCTGGTCTGATGAGACCAAGATAGAACTTTTTGGCCTTAATTCTAAGGGGTATGTGTGGAGAAAACCAGGCACTGCTCATCACCTGTCCAATACAGTCCCAACAGTGAAGCATGGTGGTGGCAGCATCATGCTGTGGGGGTGTTTTTCAGCTGCAGGGACAGGACGACTGGTTGCAATTGAGGGAAAGATGAATGCGGCCAAGTACAGGGATATCCTGGACGAAAACCTTCTCCAGAGTGCTCAGGACCTCAGACTGGGCCGAAGGTTTACCTTCCAACAAGACAATGGCCCTACGCACACAGCTAAAATAACGAAGGAGTGACAACTCTGTGACTGTTCTTGAATGGCCCAGCCAGAGCCCTGACTTAAACCCAATTGAGCATCTCTGGAGAGACCTAAAAATGGCTGTCCACCAACGTTTACCATCCAACCTGACAGAACTGGAGAGGATCTGCAAGGAGGAATGGCAGAGGATCCCCAAATCCAGGTGTGAAAAACTTGTTGCATCTTTCCCAAAAAGACTCATGGCTGTATTAGATCAAAAGGGTGCTTCTACTAAATACTGAGCAAAGGGTCTGAATACTTAGGACCATGTGATATTTCAGTTTTTCTTTTTGAATAAATCTGCAAAAATGTCAACAATTCTGTGTTTTTCTGTCAATATGGGGTGCTGTGTGTACATTAATGAGGAAAAAAAATTAACTTAAATGATTTTAGCAAATGGCTGCAATATAACAGAGTGAAAAATTTAAGGGGGTCTGAATACTTTCCGTACCCACTGTATATATATATTTGGGGGTGAGGGGCTCAGATTGTCATATATGTACGTGGGGGGAGGGGGTGCTGTTGCCTGAGGAAAAAAGGTTGGGAACCACTGGCATAGATATTAAAATTTGGGATAACAACCAATAAATAGCTCACTTTTCTAGAATTGCACAGATATTAAAATTTGGTCTAACAAGCAATAAAAAGCTGATATAATAATCCTATAGTATTTCCTAATTTAAAAAAAAAAGAATTTTAAATTGTTACAAGCAATGTTATTATAGCAGTTACTGTTATAGTTAATCATTTAATATTTTGAAATAGCTTTTATTTTTATATTTTCAGTTTTTATTCTAATTTAAGTTTTAGTAATTTTGTTATATAAACTTTTGTACTTTCAGTTCTAAAATTAACAATAAACTTAAATTTAAAAAAATTTAAAATAATTTTAGTACTTCATTTTATCTGTTAGTTGCCAAAGCAACTAATTTCCAAGTTTTTCCATCTAATATTTATATTCTGATATTCTAAGATTTATATTTATATTATATTTTAAATTATAATATTTATAATATCCAATACAATATCCAATATATAAGGCATTTCTACAGATTTAACAGCATAAAGTTCAGAATTCCTACTTTCTCTATGGATAATATCAATAATAATATGAACTCATTCTAACATATACTAAACCAAACTGCTCACACACTTCCAGTAATGGTTATTAGAACAAATGTATCAGTAATGATGCAGATTTAGCAGGGGTCATGAATTGAGGCACATACAAGGCAGGGGGTCTGGCGCTGCAGGTTTTGGTTCTTTCCTACCAATTTTTTCCTCTGCTCCACCAGCAGCTCTCCTGGATCCAGGCTGTTAGGAGTAAGACAAAGAAATGCTCACTTTAATTGCTCTACTGTTCCCCTAGTTCAGCAAATAAAGAACTTTATGACCACCTAAAAGTTTTTCTAATGAGGCAGGGGATCATTAGAAAATTTGGCTTCAATTTGAATATCACCGTATCCAACAGATTCATTACTGCTGGACCTTCACAAATGTGATTCATACCAAAAAGTTACAGAAAGAAGTGGATTATGATGTAACGCTTCAGTTAAGTTAGGACCGCTAGCATTCTCACTTTCCACATCACAGGTAGCTGGCGAGCTCATATGAGTACTAACCGTCAGGTCATCCTCGTCAGAGTTAAAGAGGTTGTCCAGGTCATTAATGGACACGACCAGATCTGTCTCATGAATCAAGCTGGTGGTAGGAAGTGGTTTACTGCCACCTGACCCCTGGGCATCTGTGTGAAAAGGTGCGTTCAAGATAACCCTCAGAAACATTTCCAGAAACAATGAACGATTTTTTATCAATTTAACTGTGAGGAAATAATACTCACCATCAGAAGATGACACACTGCCATCATCCCTCTAAAAGGAAATAAATAAAAAATAAATAAGACTTCTCACTTTGAGAAACCCAACCACACAACATTTTTCTAAGAAAATCACTGCCAGACCTTATTTTTCTTCCCGGTCTCCCTCTCGGCTCCAGGCTTTTTGTCTTTATCAGAGAAAGTAAACTCCTCATCTCCTTCCTCAAAAGCATAAGGATCAGATTCACGTTCCTGGTCTCCATCGCACACAGCTGCAGAGAGATGCTGGTTTTTCTTTTGCTCGTACATCTTCACCAGGTCTTCCGACACTTTCAGAGGCCTTTTGGAGGAGGACATAAACCTGCAAAAATCACCCCAGACTATGTTACTTCTCTAGTTAGAAAAGAATCAATAATAACCAATCAGTTACACCAATACTACTTTTTGTATTTACCATGATAGCTTAATAGTTTAATACTCAGGCAGAAATGTGACACTTTATAATATTAGTAGAACTAAAAGCTTTAGATAGACCCATAACTGTAGTTTTAAAAAAAAAAAGAAATTAACACTTTAATATATACCAAAGTGTTAATTTAAAAATGTTAATATATTTGTAATCTAAATTTCTTAAATATAATCAAATTATATTTTTATAATAAAATGCCATATATCAATAAATATATTTACATAATAATAATTATGGTTGAAAACCATGGCCAGTCATAGCCACTAAATCAAAACATCAAGTGTGTAGCCAAAACCTGAAGGTGAACTCTCCTGGCGCTGACATAGTCAGTGGCCATTGTTTCAGCAGCTGTTGACTATTTATCTGTTCATTAGGTCACACAGAGTGCACCATAATATTAAGCCAGAACTGGTATTCAGTTCTACTAAGCCAAATAACTTTATATTTTTAATCGCACTTCTCAAGGTAGAAAATGTGTTGTTGGTATTTAGTGTAATAATAGCGTAATTAACACTATATCACTATTTAGTGCACAAGGCTAGAGAACTCACTCTGTAACTGACACAACACCATCCTGGCCTCCGGCCCTGTTACCATCCTCAAAAAGCATGACCACAGGAAGCTGAGGTGTGTGGAAATTCGCATTCTTGCCACCAGGCACCCTAAAGTACCTCCAGGGGTTATGTGTTGTGTCCTCGTTGGGGTTTACGGCGGAGCCAACATATACGGTGGCTTCTAGGGACTCTGGGTATGGAGGTGGGCAGGGTAAGGGCAATGGGTCTAGAGGAGAATCATCAGGGGGTTTCTGGGGCACCAGGCAGGGCTCAGAGGAAGGAGGGTAGAAGTGTTGGTGCAAGGGCGAGGAGGAAGTCTTTAGGCCGTTGGCCGTCACCTCTACACGCTCACAAGGGTGCGGGCTGAGCGGCGGGGGCTGAGGGGAGCCGGCCATCTCATCAGTTGAACCGTGCATCATTGGGGTCTTGCTGGAGGTGACATCGGCATGATGGAGGCTGGGGTAGCGGCTGTCCTCGTGGCCCTGCAGACACAGCCTGTGAACAGCATCTCCCTGCTCCACGTTGGGCTGCTCTTCACACAGAGAGCTGCGGTGGTGGAAGGGTGTCTGGGGCCTCTTCTGCTGCTTGTCTCCTTTCTCCAGCTTCTCTGCCATCTTGTGTTTGGTAGAGGGCTGAGGAGGCTGGCCAGCAGATGGAGGATGCCCTGGGGTGCTACATGCCCGCTGTTTCTGGTTCTTAAGCCTGGAATAAAAAGCAAAAGCTCAATGTCATCAACTGGCTACATTCGTTCATTAATCTTTGTTAATTACAGGTCATTTGTTGCAGCTTGAGCATACCTTGAGCAACTGCACTGTGACCTCTGAGACGACTCTACAAAGTCCCAAACAGAAGCTTTGTCCGTTTCTTCCACGCAAACTCCGTTAGACATGGTTGAAAACTTTCTCCTGCAAAAATAAACCATACCAAACGGCTGAAGTTGCTTTGTTTTTACTCAATAAATTGCCAATAAATGCCAGGTAATTTGCTCTGGCTGATCAGTCAAGCTGTATTTTTTATATTCATACTTGTTCTGGGCTCGGTTAATATTGCACTCCTGCCAGACTCGCTCCAGTATATATATATATATATATATATATATATATATATATTTGAAATTTTATTTCAGTTTTATGAGAAACGTTTTTGATATTTTATTTCAAGCAAAAATGATGGTTTTAATTTTAGTTTCCGTTTTAGTTATCTATAATAAACCTGATATACTGAATATGTTTAAACTATATTTTAAAACCAGGATAAATGTTTTCCCTATGATTGTTAGATGTATACAATTTTAAAAGAAATGCATTCATTTTAAAAAATGTAACCTCTTTCCTGTCACTTTTGATCAATTTAAGGTGTCCTTGCAGAATAAAAGTATATATTTCTTAAAAGTGTAGCTATAATATATTTGCGTGCAGCTCCTTTAAAGCAAAATGAAACTGCCTGGAGCACAAACGGTTGCATTATCTCCACTCCTCCTCCTACAACTTCCGAAGCTTTCCACACCTACAATTACACATTATTCAAAACTGTGGTGAGATCTGACCTGTGCTGATACAGGGAGTTTCATGACACTTCAACACAAACCAAACACACAAGGCAAGTGAAAACTTGGCGTGTCTCAACACGTGTATGACGGTGTTCATTTTGACAGACATTTTTGATTTAGTCTTAAGTCTTCTTGAGACAAAAATGCTTAATAGTCTTAGTCACATTTTAGTCATTTGAGTCTTTCATAGTTTTAGTCGACGAAATGTCATTGCATTTTTGTCAACTTTTAGTCAAACTGCAGTTACCAACATTTATTTTAGAAGCTATTTTATATGCAGTCTTCAAACAAAAATAGTCATTAATTCTTCTCTCTTTAGACCAAATCAATTAAGCTTATGAGAAATGTGAATCAAGTAATGAATTTGGAAAAACTTGAATAAATGACAATTTTCAATTTTGGGTGAACTATCCCTATAACAGCATAGTGAAAAGGGAGCAACTTATAAAAATTATAGTTGTTCATAAATAATTTATACCTTTAAGACGGAAGGCATGCATGTAATACTGACACACGTTCAGTTTTCACCCACCTGTTTACGTTCACTTAATTCATAACCGACTATTTACGTGAGATACTCTACACAACAGACATTTGGATGGTTGTGTGTGTATTTGAGCACTGAGAACTGATCGCACGCTGTATATGAGAACTGAAGAAGTGGAGCGTGCGCGAAAGAGAGCACTTCAGCGCGATTCGAAGACGTGACAAATTTCATCATAGTTTATCATCAGATATTAGTTTTAGCTCGTCAATGTCTCGTCTTAGTCACAGAAAAAAAATGTTCGTCAACGAATATTTTTCGTCGTCGTCTTCGTTGACGAAATTAACTGGTGTACGAGCAATAAAAATATTCACAATGCAAGAGAGTTCATATAAGTTTATAATAGGCTAATTAAGCATATTGTTAGAAGCAAGAAAGATCACGTTGCAGTTACAGTAAAAAAGCACTAGCTACATTACCGGTCAATTTCCATGTAGATAAGCATTTCTTGAGAGGATGTTTGGCTCCATTATTCAAGACAATAAAATATGAAGGGATAATAAGAATGAGTGCACTTGGCATTCAACATTATTGCTTTTGCAAATACATATAACAGGAGTCTAACATAAGCGTTAGCCCCCTTGGGGAGACGGTTAATGAACTAACACAAGCCAGACAACTGATCACAAGCCCTGTGAACGAGCTCTGCCAAAGTCAATCTTCTGCCATTAGAGTGAGAACAACTGGAATAAAAAAACAAATTAATCAATCTGTGACTGTTAGCCACTTATAATGCAGCACAACCAAGCTTCAGATAAAGAGGTTTGTCATTGCCTCTTGAAACAAGGACTCTTACTACAAGTCCTACAAAAACCATGGAATGACTTGAAACGGTTTTGACAGCAAGCTATTAACACATCAGAGCTTAATATTGTTTTTAACCTGGAATAACAACATTTCCAAAGGTGGATTAAGGACTGACGTTGATCGGACATAGGAGAACAGATTGAGAAGAAACACAGATGCATCTTGTTCAGGGTAAAACATACTGTTCCAAGCCATAATGCAAGTCACAAGCCTGTGAACTCAGCACCCTGGAGGGAACGGTGGTGATGATGTAACAAAGCTGAAAGCCGGAGAAGTACTGAATCTGGAAAACACCTCATCAGGGCCACAGTGGGGCTTCACTGAGATAATGACTACCACAAGAGAAGCAGCGTCTCAGAGGTGTTAACATAATGTAGGCCTGTGCCCTTGAGCTGAGGAGAAAACATGTGTTTGCCACCAGTCTGACTGCTGAGGCAACGACAAACCACAAAAAAGACAACAGAACAAAGGGGAGGGCCTGTCATCTTTTCATTTTCAACACTAAAGTGTAAAATTCCCTCTCAAGCCTACTGTCATTATGTGCTTCATGGTGAACACTAAACTTTCTGCTTTTATATATCAATACAACTGTGGCTTAATGCACATGAGTCAATAAAAAAAAAAAAAAAAACTAATCTGCAAATGAAAACCATGGAATGACTTGAAACGGTTTTGACAGCAAGCTATTAACACATCAGAGCTTAATATTGTTTTTAACCTGGAATAACAACATTTCCAAAGGTGGATTAAGGACTGACGTTGATCGGACATAGGAGAACAGATTGAGAAGAAACACAGATGCATCTTGTTCAGGGTAAAACATACTGTTCCAAGCCATAATGCAAGTCACAAGCCTGTGAACTCAGCACCCTGGAGGGAACGGTGGTGATGATGTAACAAAGCTGAAAGCCGGAGAAGTACTGAATCTGGAAAACACCTCATCAGGGCCACAGTGGGGCTTCACTGAGATAATGACTACCACAAGAGAAGCAGCGTCTCAGAGGTGTTAACATAATGTAGGCCTGTGCCCTTGAGCTGAGGAGAAAACATGTGTTTGCCACCAGTCTGACTGCTGAGGCAACGACAAACCACAAAAAAGACAACAGAACAAAGGGGAGGGCCTGTCATCTTTTCATTTTCAACACTAAAGTGTAAAATTCCCTCTCAAGCCTACTGTCATTATGTGCTTCATGGTGAACACTAAACTTTCTGCTTTTATATATCAATACAACTGTGGCTTAATGCACATGAGTCAATAAAAATAAAAAATAAACTAATCTGCAAATGAGTTAACTGCATTATTTTCACATAGACACTTAAGTCTGGTCCACATTACAGCTTATTCTGGCCAACAGCCAGGAAAGGGCCAGGAATGTAAAATGTAGATTCTAGTTAAATCTGAAATCAGAATTAGTAGAACAACTGCAACATACAGGAACACTACTAGAGCTGTGCGATTAATCGAAATCGCGATTTGAGATTTTGCGATTTCCTAAATCACAAAGCCTGCGATGTGGACGCGATATTACTCTGTTCCAGAGCATATGCATGACTGCCAGCCTTGAGTTGCAATCTTACTTGCCCTGGGCAAGAGTGAGCGCACATCCGTTCTCCCCAATCAGCACTGCTCTAGCCAACTGCGTAAACGCCCAACGGGAATGGAAAAAACCGGTACGCGGGACGGGAGAGAGACAGAGTGGGATTATGGCGTCTACTGGGTCAGATCGATAGTTAGGCAAATTAAAACTAAAGAAAACCGTATGCAATTTAAGCTTCGAAATGACAGACAACAAACAAAAAAAGTCATTTGCAAGAGCTGCATCACAGCGCATATCAAGAGCTCCCTTATCGGTTCTGTTTTCAGTACTGGAGAATAAAAGATACATTCTTAGATGTTTTTGTTAGTACGTGATCGTTATCTTACACATTTTATCTCCCCAACAGATTCATTTGAAAGAAGTTTATAACGCATGTTGGCTATTCCAAATTCAGAAGAGCGCACACACAGCCTGTGTCTGTGAATGCTTCTCATACTCGCTCTTCTCTGCCCCACGCGGCGTGAATCCTGCGTCACGGATGAGCCGTTCATGCTTCCTGTACTCACACAGCCTGTCTCGTAATGCTCGTTTATACTCGCACCCGGCTCCGCACCTCAAGTCTCCACGAGCGCATCTGGCAGTATGGACGAGGCTTGACGCACGCGCGCAACCGGGGTCGACCCGCGCCTGGCTCTGTGTTTAAAACAAATGTAAATTCAGTCTAACTGCTTGCTAATTTCACTTGGATGAAATGAAACATTCAGCACATTTTCCACTTGCTCTTAAAATTAATAAATCAATGTAATACTTTAATAATTGACTTAAGAAATACAGTTCTTTATTTATAAAAAATTCAGTAATTAAGTTAATTCTGTAAAAGTAGTTATACCATTATAATCTTGCCTGCTGAAGAAAAAAAACAATAAAGCCCCTTCCAAAACATAATAACAAATTTAATGGATTTCAGGGAATTTGTTTGGTTTTAATGTAAACTATAACGGTGTCTATTTGATGGATTCTATTGGTGGGATGTAATATGGCAGATGGCAACCAATAGAACAACAGTAACTCCTATTGGAATAATGCCCAAAACAAAAAGGAATTTTGTAATGGTTTAATGGAAACTATAAGAATTTTTCTGATGGTTTCTATTATTTTTTTCAGCAGGGTAATGATACCCATACTGTGCTGCATATTATTGACAATATTGAGCTGAAGCTTGACTTTGCAAATCGCAAAAATCGCAGTATCAGTCAAAAAATAAAAAATAAATAAATATTTTCCCCCAAATCGCACAGCCCTAAACACTACCTTTCAAAAGTTTAGGGTCAGTATTTTTTGTGTTTCTGAAAAAAAACTAAAAACATTTATTTGCAACAATAGAAACAATAGTATCGTTTACTGTTTATTAGTACTGTAATTTAAATTATTTTGTGAAATAACTTCTCTATTTTTCAATTTTCAGCAGCCATTATTCCAGTCTTCAGTCTTGCATGATCCTTCAGAAATCATTCTAATATGATTTTGTGCTCAAGAAAAATGTCTTACTATCATCAATGTTGAAAACAGTTGTGCAGCTCAAAAAGTTTGTGAAAACCGTGATTTTTTTTCTAGATTCTTAGATTAATAGAAAGTTTAAAAGAACAGCATTTATTTGAAATAGTCTTCGTTTATAACATTATAAAATGTTTACAGTCACTTTTAATCAAATGCATCTTTGAATAAAATAATTAATTTCTTTAAAAAAAACATCTTACTAACCCCAAATCTTTTGATAAATGTAATGCATCCTTGAACTAAGTATTAATTTCTTTTAAAAAGACTCCAAAACTTTAAACGGCAGTGTATATTATACAAATAATATAATGTACAGCCTGAAAAAAATTATATTTGAGATTTGCTAAAGAGTACATCTAACAAATTATTAGTGTTATTAAAAATTAACTAAGTGAGATTTAGATAATGGCAAAGGAAATAAGCATGATACAAATATAGGGTATCAACCAAACGAAAACAAGGCATGATTTTTGTGTGCAAAAATTCAAGACACAATGTACATGCAGATTTCATCTGAGTCTACCGATCAGCAACGCTCCTACCTTGAACCGAGCTGCTGCCCTGCTGGGCCAAAGTCAAGTGCTCCTCACTCAACAGATAGACAGGCTGGTGCTGGTTAATCTCCACGCTGGTGCACACGTTACTGTCTCCATGTACGAAGAACGTGAAGGAGCAGGACAGGTGCTCACTGCAAAGGAGAAGGAACAAAAGGAGGATTACTCGAGGGTCTAGCGTTAAAGCCTGAGAGAAAGTAGCACACTTCCTGGAGGTCTCTGGGAATGGTGTGTTGACAGCTGAGGTCTTCACAGCGTGTTTGCAGGCTTAGTGCCCGGAGAGCTACAGTTAGTGACTGAACCTTGACCAGGAGTACTATGAAAAGGTTTAGGAAATACTAGAACATTAGATCCATGAGTATCAGAGACTTCAACTTTGGGGTTTAATAAAGTGTTTAATTAAGTCCTAGAACACATAATGAACATCTCACACATGCTTTGTAGCACACATTCTCAAAGTTAACAACCCAGCACCTGTGAATGTGTGACCCACAGGCTAGAGTGAACAGCTGTTACAGTGTAACCGAACATGCAGATGATGAGTGATCAAATTCAGGCATTCAGGAAACACCAACCGAAACCACAGTTTGTTTGTTTTTTCCAGAAGCCTAAATTCTGAAGAATTGTTTGATTCTTAAAGAAAATCTGAAATGCTTTTAGAAGGGAATGAACTATGCAATGTTTTTTGCCATACAGCAATCAAAACATTATTAATCATTATCTGTGTGGGAAAACAATTATGTAATTTGCAATGCTTCATGGGAGTGGGCAGCTGCTTGGGAGCTCTTCTGCCGCCATTTCGGTTTCCATGGTAACAGAAACTTCTTTGATAAGTGGGATTTCTGCTCAGGATGCTTTTTTTAATAACACTAAAATCTTAATGACTTGAGGCTTCTTCAGAAGCTTTAAAGTCAGATTGTAATGGAAATTCACCCTGTCTCACTTTCTAAATGCATGTTATTGATCTTATGGTGAACTATTCATCGATGCATTACATTTTTGGACCTTGTATATTTAAAACATATATAAATATAAATAATATATATAAAATTCTAAGTCATTGTTTGATTTCTGTGGTAAATATACTTATAGTACAGACAAACAATGCTCTCTTTAATGGCATTTACAATCTGACTTTCTAGAACTTTACAGTGGCAGCTCTCTATTTGCATGCCTGAACACTGTAGCCCATTCTCATTCAGAAACACCAATGCAGAGAACCATCACTTCCTGCCTTTAAGCCAACAGTGCATGCATGCTCACCCTGGAGGGATCGAGTGATGACCCCTGGTAACACCAGCGGGTATAGCGCCAACATCATGCTGTGCAATGCCAGGGACGAATGAGAGAAAAAGAAAGCGAGAGAAATGGGGAAGCCTGCATTCCTCAAATGTCTGTCAAGCACTCCTAGAAGTGTCCTTACGACACGCCACCAGCAATCCACTACAAACCTCACACAGACAGATGGCACTCCAAAGCGTATGCACTACCATTCAAAAGCTTGATGTCAGTATGATTTGTTTAAAAGTAATTAATACTTTTGAATCAGTAATGATGCATTGAATTGATTAAAAGTTACAGTAAAGACATCTGTAGTAATACAAAATACTCAAACTTTCCATTCATCAAACAAATCCTGAAAAAAAGAAGAATGTTTTTTCAACATTAAGCAGCACAACTGTTTTCAGTATTGATCATAAGACGTGTTTCTTAAGCAGCAAATCAGCATATTAGAATGATTTCTGAAGTATCATGTGACACTGAAGACTGGAGTAATGATGCTGAAAATTCAGCTTTGCATCACAGGAATAAATTACAAAAAATATTTAGAAATGTATTAAAATTGAAAATACATGTGTGACCCAGGACCACAAAACCTTTCATAAGGGTCAATTTTTTGAAATTGAGATTTACATGTCATCTGAAAGTTGAATAAGTAAGCTTGATGTATGGTTTGTTAGGATAGGACAATATTTGGCCGAGATACAACTATTTGAAAATCTGGAATCTGAGGGTGCAAAAAAATCAAAACATTGAGAAAATCACATTTAAAGTTGTCCAAATGAAGTTCTTAGCAATGCATATTACTAATCAACATTATAAAATGTTTACAGTCACTTTTAATCAAATGCATCTTTGAATAAAATAATTAATTTCTTTAAAAAAAACATCTTACTAACCCCAAATCTTTTGATAAATGTAATGCATCCTTGAACTAAGTATTAATTTCTTTTAAAAAGACTCCAAAACTTTAAACGGCAGTGTATATTATACAAATAATATAATGTACAGCCTGAAAAAAATTATATTTGAGATTTGCTAAAGAGTACATCTAACAAATTATTAGTGTTATTAAAAATTAACTAAGTGAGATTTAGATAATGGCAAAGGAAATAAGCATGATACAAATATAGGGTATCAACCAAACGAAAACAAGGCATGATTTTTGTGTGCAAAAATTCAAGACACAATGTACATGCAGATTTCATCTGAGTCTACCGATCAGCAACGCTCCTACCTTGAACCGAGCTGCTGCCCTGCTGGGCCAAAGTCAAGTGCTCCTCACTCAACAGATAGACAGGCTGGTGCTGGTTAATCTCCACGCTGGTGCACACGTTACTGTCTCCATGTACGAAGAACGTGAAGGAGCAGGACAGGTGCTCACTGCAAAGGAGAAGGAACAAAAGGAGGATTACTCGAGGGTCTAGCGTTAAAGCCTGAGAGAAAGTAGCACACTTCCTGGAGGTCTCTGGGAATGGTGTGTTGACAGCTGAGGTCTTCACAGCGTGTTTGCAGGCTTAGTGCCCGGAGAGCTACAGTTAGTGACTGAACCTTGACCAGGAGTACTATGAAAAGGTTTAGGAAATACTAGAACATTAGATCCATGAGTATCAGAGACTTCAACTTTGGGGTTTAATAAAGTGTTTAATTAAGTCCTAGAACACATAATGAACATCTCACACATGCTTTGTAGCACACATTCTCAAAGTTAACAACCCAGCACCTGTGAATGTGTGACCCACAGGCTAGAGTGAACAGCTGTTACAGTGTAACCGAACATGCAGATGATGAGTGATCAAATTCAGGCATTCAGGAAACACCAACCGAAACCACAGTTTGTTTGTTTTTTCCAGAAGCCTAAATTCTGAAGAATTGTTTGATTCTTAAAGAAAATCTGAAATGCTTTTAGAAGGGAATGAACTATGCAATGTTTTTTGCCATACAGCAATCAAAACATTATTAATCATTATCTGTGTGGGAAAACAATTATGTAATTTGCAATGCTTCATGGGAGTGGGCAGCTGCTTGGGAGCTCTTCTGCCGCCATTTCGGTTTCCATGGTAACAGAAACTTCTTTGATAAGTGGGATTTCTGCTCAGGATGCTTTTTTTAATAACACTAAAATCTTAATGACTTGAGGCTTCTTCAGAAGCTTTAAAGTCAGATTGTAATGGAAATTCACCCTGTCTCACTTTCTAAATGCATGTTATTGATCTTATGGTGAACTATTCATCGATGCATTACATTTTTGGACCTTGTATATTTAAAACATATATAAATATAAATAATATATATAAAATTCTAAGTCATTGTTTGATTTCTGTGGTAAATATACTTATAGTACAGACAAACAATGCTCTCTTTAATGGCATTTACAATCTGACTTTCTAGAACTTCAGCTCTCTAGCTCTCTATTTGCATGCCTGAACACTGTAGCCCATTCTCATTCAGAAACACCAATGCAGAGAACCATCACTTTAAGCCAAACACCAATGCAGAGAACCATCACTTCCTGCCTTTAAGCCAACAGTGCATGCATGCTCACCCTGGAGGGATCGAGTGATGACCCCTGGTAACACCAGCGGGTATAGCGCCAACATCATGCTGTGCAATGCCAGGGACGAATGAGAGAAAAAGAAAGCGAGAGAAATGGGGAAGCCTGCATTCCTCAAATGTCTGTCAAGCACTCCTAGAAGTGTCCTTACGACACGCCACCAGCAATCCACTACAAACCTCACACAGACAGATGGCACTCCAAAGCGTATGCACTACCATTCAAAAGCTTGATGTCAGTATGATTTGTTTAAAAGTAATTAATACTTTTGAATCAGTAATGATGCATTGAATTGATTAAAAGTTACAGTAAAGACATCTGTAGTAATACAAAATACTCAAACTTTCCATTCATCAAACAAATCCTGAAAAAAAGAAGAATGTTTTTTCAACATTAAGCAGCACAACTGTTTTCAGTATTGATCATAAGACATGTTTCTTAAGCAGCAAATCAGCATATTAGAATGATTTCTGAAGTATCATGTGACACTGAAGACTGGAGTAATGATGCTGAAAATTCAGCTTTGCATCACAGGAATAAATTACAAAAAATATTTAGAAATGTATTAAAATTGAAAATACATGTGTGACCCAGGACCACAAAACCTTTCATAAGGGTCAATTTTTTGAAATTGAGATTTACATGTCATCTGAAAGTTGAATAAGTAAGCTTGATGTATGGTTTGTTAGGATAGGACAATATTTGGCCGAGATACAACTATTTGAAAATCTGGAATCTGAGGGGGCAAAAAAATCAAAACATTGAGAAAATCACATTTAAAGTTGTCCAAATGAAGTTCTTAGCAATGCATATTACTAATCAAAAATTAAGTTTTGTTATATTTATGGTAGGAAATTTACTAAATATCTTCATGGAGTATGATCTTTACTTAATATCATAATGGTTTTTGGCATAAAAGAAAAATCTATAATTTTGACCCATACATTTTATTTTTGGCTGTTGCTACAATTATACCCCAGCGACTTGTGACTGGTTTTGTGCTCCAGTGTCACATATACAGGTGCATCTCAATAAATTAGAATGTCGTGGAAAAGTTCATTTATTTTGTGTAGCCTAGTGAACCAAACTGAGAGGCCATTTTGAAGGCTCAGGAAACCTTTGCAGGTGTTTTGTGTTGATTAGCTGATTGGCATGTCACCATATTCTAATTTGTTGAGATGGTGAATTGGTGGGTTTTTGTTAAATGTGAGCCAAAATCACAATTAAAAGAACCAAAGACTTAAACTACTTCAGTCTGTGTGCATTGAATTTATTTAATACACGAGTTTCACAATTTGAGTTGAATTACTGAAATAAATGAACTTTTCCACGACATTCTAATTTATTGAGATGCACCTGTATTAAATGTAAAGTCATTTCACACTAATCCTGTTTTTTTATCTGTATTTTTGATCTAATATATGCAAAATTTGTAAACACAAGAGACTTCTTTCAAAAAATATACAAAAATAAATAAAAAATCTCACCAAACCCAAACCTTTAAACGGTAGTGTATATTCAGAGCTCAATGTGACCTAACAGCATTCAAGCTCACCTATCTGCCTTGTTTATGGAAAAAAACAAAGCACCAGAAAACCATGAGCCACAAATGATTATCAGGAAGAACTCTGGATGTCTGACATCTTTTCAAGTTCAGGCAGAGCTGAACAAGTGAAAGCGAAATGGTGGTTCCTGTTGACCTACCTAGTGTGAAACCGCACAGTCAGTGTTTTGTGAGAAGAGTAAGCTCTTCATTAAAACTTAGACAGAGGAAGCAGCCCCACTTTCCAGCTCTTGCATCCTTAACTGACACCGGGTGCACTGTGTGCACACCCACAGCAGGAAGCCATATCCTCCCACCCACAGACACACCACAACACCTCTGCCCTGAGGGGACCAATGACATCTATGCAAATGAGACAGACAATTAAACGGACCGCATCTTTTGCCCCTCCCTACGTGATTCGAATGTTTCACTTAAAGGTGGGGTAAGCGATTTCTGGTAGCCAACGTTGACATTTGAAATCACCAAAACAAACACGCCCCTACCCCAAAAGGGTCTCACCCCTATTTTGATAGCTCCGCCCCACACATACATACACAACCCAGGCAACGGTTATCTGTATATACATATCTATGTCTACACTGGATGCGGCGCGGCACGACAACAAATCCCTGACAGAAAACTGCTGCTGCTTTCTATTCATGACGTATTGACACAAATTTCAAATGATTTTCAATGGTCGCTTTGTCGCGTCCAGTGTACTAGACAGACTTTAGCTGTCGCGGCGCAGACACGGTGTTACTCACCTATCGAGAAGAAACAAAGCGGCGTCCAATCGCAGGCCTTCCACTCCTTGAGTTCTCTTCAGCGCTGGAAAGCTGATCCGATATTTACACGGGTCCTACTTCTTGCCTTATCACCTTTTTTTGTTCCTCAGACGTTTTCCTCTTTTGTTTTTTATCCGCCATCTCTATCTTTCTGTCGCTCGGCTCGCTAATGTCCGTCATGTGCACTGAACGCTCTCTCCTCCACATCATGAGTAGACACGCCCCTTACTGCTGATTGGCTACAAGTTTGTTTTGCTAGTCGGCCCGAATCAGTTTTCTAACGCGTTTTTGAAAAATTGCTTACCCCACCTTTAAAACAGGCAAAACAGAGCATCCCGGGAGGTTACGCGACAAAAATCGCTGGCTTCCAGAACAGGGGCTCTTCCTCACACAACAATGCCAATAGCCTGATGTCACTCGTCTGCTGCGACAAACAATGAGGATCACGCTGTTAAATGCTGCAGCATACGGCATGCATCCGCATCGCTGGGCATGAAAACACACCAGGTTATCGCCAAAATCTAAACAGCAGCCTCCGTTTGCTCAACGTCTCTTTTACCTTTTGTTGATAGGCTTCTCATCCTTCTCGTAGGGTTTGACGAACCACTTGCCGATACGAACGAAGGATCGGTTCATGAGGCAGCGCTCCAGCAGGTTATGGATGGCTTTGAAGAGCAGCGTTCGGCACTCGTAGGTCAGGCCGCTATCCCAGGAACCGTCCTCATTACCTGTGAGACACAGAGGACAGGTCAGTATTCTATTATATCCACATGCTCAACTGCTGCTGCCCCAATTAAGACCCTACACATCACTTTTTAGTTAATCATAATGTATATGGTAAAGAAAGATGTATTACAACGTCAGAACAGTAGTTCAGACTTTTATTAGCATTTTTTAGTGATAGAAAGTGACACTTTTATACAGCAATACAACTGATCAAATGTGAGGGTAAAGACTTTTAAAAATCTAACCGACCCCAAAATTTTGAATTTGAGTTTATTTCTTATTTAATGTTAGGTTAGACAAAGAAATTACTAGGCAATAACGGCTAGAAATTATATGAAGTTATACAAATATAACATAACACACAGATGATTTCTTTATAATTACAGTCTTGGTTCATAGAAAGACTATTATTATCAAGTCATTCTTGCAATTTTCACCTAAGTTAGCCAACAATAACACATCAATGGTCTGATTTGATCTGGAACTCAGATTTTAGGTTGAGCCCTGCCTATAGCTCCATCTCAGAGTGTTTGTTGTTGAAAGAGATTTTATAAGAGAACAAATAATTCAAAGAACCAGGAAATTAACCCTACTTAGCTCTTTATTGACCAAGTATTGATCGAGCTATTATAGTAATAAAAGGTGGATGAGAAACAGATGTCAAGTCACACCTTAAAAAAAGAATTAAGCCAAGCCAGCCAATCTAAATAAGCATCGTTAACTTTTCATCATTAACTACAGTTTCCTCTTTCATATGAGAGCTGCTTATATATTGAGTAAGGTATTATTTGTTATGCAAATATCAAGATAAATAAAGTCTCACTGCAGACATACTAAAATCCTTAAAAACTTTTGCTTTGACACAACTGCAATTAATGCAGTTAGCAAACCTCAACAACTGCAATATCAATAACCGGTCTATGACTAATGTCTGGAAAAACACCTCCAGTCTAACCACCAATTTAGCTATGAAAAATTCAGTATCAAGCACAGCTTAAACTCTGACAAGCAAAACATCATCTCTGACTACACGTATTTCTAATGGTGTATGCACATGTTCTGGTTTGGAAGGCATGTGTCAGTTTAACAAGCAAGCAGACATACATGATAGGTCATGGTGGACGTTAAGAGTTACTTCATGCCAACAACTTGCAGCTTGTGTCAGCCAGTTAGCTCAGCAAGTGTTTACCAACGTTAGCGAAGTCGACCTAAATAACACTCACCCGCCAGCCTCCGTCTACACAACGCAAACACACACCTGAATGTCTAATATATATTTAAAAACCGGCAGCGGTTTAGTTCGTATTAAGATCAACAGGCCTTGATTGACTGGCCGGCTAAAAATGGCTTCTGGCCCTCAGTCAGTTTCTCTCTTACCAGACAGAATAGATTGGAATGGCAGTCCTCCAGGCTCGCCCCGTTGGGTACAAAACAAGAACTCATCATCAAAGCGCAGTCCGGCGAGCCATCCTCTCTTTCAGATCCCAGGAACAGATAATGCGATGGGTTTTGGACCGGGCCTCCGTTTCTCGGACACAATCAGCAGGACGGCTTCGCGTCCAGCGAGCTAATTAGCTTAGCTCCGCTAGAGGTTACTCACTTACCAGGAAAAATTGCGCTAAAAACGTCCTGCGCGCATTTACCATGATCCGCGATGAGATATTTTTCTCCCCCAGATTTGTTACATCACACAATATGTAATTTCAGCAGACCGAGTGGGTAGGGAGGGGAATACAGCCCTCCCCTTTAGCTTAGCATAGCATCAGGCTAGCCGAAGTTAGCCTGGCTAAGCGAGGCAGCAACAAACTGTTCAAGCCAGAAAGAGTTCAGCTTCAAATTTCACTAAAAATCACTCGCGCCTTTCCAGGTCTTCGCCGGACTATCGTCAACGGCCATTCACGGAGAAGCTGGCGATGAAAGTAAAAGGTTCTGGTTTAAAAGTGCAGTTAAAAGAGGCAAGGCTGTGCTGTGCTCAGCTGTCTCTCACTGGTTTGTTTGAATACATTGGTCGCATCCTTAATGGCGGCCACAGGGACACAACTCTACTACACTCCAGTCTACTCTACTCTACTCTACTCGGCTCCGATTGGCAGCGCTGCGTCTCGATAGAGGAAAGAGTCGATGCTGGATTCCATAAAGCTCCAGAAGAGTCGACTCACCAAGAGAGCTGTCAACTTCTTCTTCTTCTTTAAATTTTACTGGCGGTTGGCAAACCAACTTAAAGGTGCATTTGAGAGCTGTCAACTCCTCTAAGGGAGATTTTTGATCTTTTAGATGGGATCCTAAAATTTAAAAGGCATGTGTATAGTTTATTGTACAAAAAATATGACTAAAAACAAAATGACTTAAAACTATGTGGAATATGTAGTTTCTATTAAGTTACATTTTTACTTTTTTTTAAACTTGTAATATTATGCATACTGTTATATGTTATTTATTTACTTATCTAATTTTTATGTGTTAATCACCAATAATGAGATTATTAGTGTAAACCTATTTTTACTTATTTTATTTTCTAAAACTTTTCACAGACTCCCTTGCGGCCCCCTGGAAGTCCCCAGACCCCAGTTTGAAAACCCCTGGTAGGCTCTAAAAAAATTTTTTTTACTGCTTTATGTCATGTGGAGTTGCAGTATTTCTACAATAAAATATTAATAAATGATAACAAATGTCCCCCTTCCACCCAAAGTAACAATATTTATCATGGTATTGTTATTTTATGTATCACAATCTACAATGATATCATACATCTTTTAGTTATGTAATAGAGTCATAATATCATCATTATATATATCTTACATCTACCTTATATTTGATTGGCTAGCTGTGTTTATTGTGTGCATGGAAATTAATCTTTCTGAATCATTCATGAGAGAAGCTGAGCAGGGACATATGACTGACATATTGACATTAAAATAATAACAACTATGTAAAGGCTTTGGTGAATGTGGCTAAAGAACTTTTTTTAAGCAGAGTCAGTAAAAGAGTGAACTGCTGTTTCGGATAAACATTTGTCATTGTTATTATTTAATGACTTCATGCTGCCAAATTTGAAATAAAATCAAGTGATGATTGAGTTAATACTTATTCAAAAGAAAAAAAAAATCAATACTTTTCAAATTCATTCGTTTTGACCGACAATGAAAAGTTCACACAATGTCAAGTCTGGTGAATGTGGCTAAAGAACTTTTTTTAAGCAGAGTCAGTAAAAGAGTGAACTGCTGTTTCGGATAAACATTTGTCATTGTTATTATTTAATGACTTCATGCTGCCAAATTTGAAATAAAATCAAGTGATGATTATTCAAAAGAAAAAAAAAATCAATACTTTTCAAATTCATTCGTTTTGACTGACAATGAAAAGTTCACACAATGTCAAGTCAAAAACTGCCTCTTAAAATTAAACAAATAACTTTTTGCCTAAACGTGAGACATCATTAAAGTGTTTTATTATTTTATGGAGTGTTATTTCACGCCCATTATGGGTTCATTAAGTTGATCCATTCCCACCTTCTCCCCCTCCCCTGCTGTGTGCTTGACATAAGAGAGCTCTTTTGTGTTTCATTAGGTTCTGCAACGCCTTGACAACCTTCTTTCTCTTGAGACATGTCGTGAGTTACTGTAAAGAGAAAGTACATTTATGACAGGGTCTGCTATTAATCCCATAGTAAGCTAAAAAATACACATAGGTACAGTAGGACACGTGTGATGTCAGTGATATTTTGTGTGAGAAGTGCGCCATCTAGTGTACAATGCTGAGGCAATTACATCAGATGCACGTTACATCACATACAGGTGCATCTCAATAAATTAGAAAGTCGTGGAAAAGTTCATTTATTTGAGTAATTCAACTCAAATTGTGAAACTCGTGTATTAAATAAATTCAATGCACACAGACTGAAGTAGTTTAAGTCTTTGGTTATTTTAATTGTGATGATTTTGGCTCACATTTAACAAAAACCCACCAATTCACTATCTCAACAAATTAGAATACTTCATAAGACCAATAAAAAAACATTTTTAGTGAATTGTTGGCCTTCTGGAAAGTATGTTCACTTACTGTACATGTACTCAATACTTGGTAGGGGCTCCTTTTGCTTTAATTACTGCCTCAATTCGGCGTGGCATGGAGGTGATCAGTTTGTGGCACTACTGAGGTGGTTGTGTAGCCTAGTGAACCAAACTGAGAGACCATTTTGAAGGCTCAGGAAACCTTTGCAGGTGTTTTGAGTTGATTAGCTGATTGGCATGTCACCATATTCTAATTTGTTGAGATAGTGAATTGGTGGGTTTTTGTTAAATGTGAGCCAAAATCATCACAATTAAAATAACCAAAGACTTAAACTACTTCAGTCTGTGTGCATTGAATTTATTTAATACACGAGTTTCACAATTTGGGTTGAATTACTGAAATAAATCAACTTTTCCACGACATTCTAATTTATTGAGATGCACCTGTACACATACATTTTAGGCACATTTTAAAACATAATAAATACATATGTACAGTGGTACCCAGTACCCAGAAGGGGGTCTGAATACTTTCCGTACCCACTGTATATATAAAATCACATATCCATATAAATAAATATAGCATTTTATAAATACCTGTAAGAAACGTATGAATTAATGAGAGGGAGAGAGGTCTCTCAACCTTTGCTGTTAAAAAACCCAAATTATTAAAATAAAACGTGTACGTTTAATTTACAAAAACTTAAATTAAATTTTAGCCATAAATGACATTTTAAGTAGCAGAATCACGTGGTGCAATGTGACAACCGCCAGTGTTAAATTCATTGCAATTTTTCATTTTTTTTTATTACTGAAACGAAAATCGATTTAAAACAAGACAATTTCATACAAGACAGTTAAACCCTTTAATTGTCACCTGTCCCCTCTGTGGGACGCCTAGGTTTACTTCACTATATTACAATTAAATCCTAATCTAATCATGACAAACTATATATCGTTGGAAAGGTCTAAGACTCCTAAATAGATATTTTACCAATGTTTTTGTTAAAAATTATGTTGGAAAAGTAATAGAATAATTTATGACAAGAGTGCACCTCAAAAATCTACATCATAACAGGAGTTCTGACCTTTGTCAAAAAAAGTCTTCTTCGTTGCCTTTTTCTCTATCACACTTTAGAAATCATCAGAAATTATATATCAATTGAAAACTTTAAATCTCAAAATTCATCCTTTGAAACCCATTTTGAAATCAAACATTGCATTACCATGAAAATGGTACATCAATATCATGTTACACAATGTTTTCGTTCATGAATTATAAAAATGTAAGTTTGGATCGTGCACTTTCACGTCTATGTTCAAACATGTGAGTGACAGTTAAAGGGTTAATGGATGAATTTACTCCACCAGACATATTCGTCAGAAGCCCATATGGAAGAACTGCTGCCAGATCTGTAATGTTAATGGCATTTTATTGCACGACAGTCCTGCACATACCTATTATTTTGAAATAATTATAGGAGATCATTGCATGCTGCTCATGAGTATGAACGCTGAGGTGGATTAACGATCGTTAATAACTAAATATTGACCAAAGAAATGGTTTGATATATGTGTGCACAAATATTCACAATTTTATTTCATTTTTCCTCATGAAGTGTTTTGATCAATAGCTGTTTTGTTTAAATTTTGAATTGAGCTAAAAAGCATGCTGTTAATTCGCAAGGATGGTTTTGTCGTTGGCAAGAAGCTCACAGGCCTGGCGGCTATACAGAAATTGACTTTCAAGTTGGAGTACAAAGATGTACAACAAAACAGTTCAAATAAATAACAAAGGCATACCATTCTCTAAAAATATGATTGATTACTGTACTCTTCACTGTTACAGTGTTATGAATAATATTTAGTGTGTCTAAAGTCCTTGCGCATGCGTCTTTGGACTAGCGCTCAGCACCAAGGACAGCGGCGACCAAACACACGCGCAACCTGATGATGATGATGATGTGCGGGTCGATGTGACGTCAAAGCCAGCGAATCACAGCAACACACAAGTTCCCAGTGTATCTGACTTACTCAGTGGAAGATTTACTCGTGAACACACACACACACACACACACACACACAGTGTATCTGACTTACTTAGTGGAAGATTTACTTGTGAACACACACACACACAGTGTATCTGACTTACTCAGTGGAAGATTTACTCTGGAACACACACACACACACACACACACACACACACACAGTATCTGACTTACTCAGTGGAATATTTACTCGCACACACACACACACACACAGTATCTGACTTACTCAGTGGAATATTTACTCGCACACACACACACACACACAGTATCTGACTTACTCAGTGGAATATTTACTCGCACACACACACACACACACAGTATCTGACTTACTCAGTGGAATATTTACTCGCACACACACACACACACACAGTATCTGACTTACTCAGTGGAATATTTACTCGCACACACACACACACACACAGTATCTGACTTACTCAGTGGAATATTTACTCGCACACACACACACACACACAGGGTATCTGACTTAGTGGAAGATTTACTCGTGAACACACACACACAGAAATATCTGAGCCTCAGTCATTTATCTCATGAACACACACACACAGAAATATCTGATCCTCTGTCATTTATTCATATGTGATTTAATATATGTACACTGTAAAATATTTTTCTTCCTATAACCAAAATATTAGTTTATGTCAAAGTCTTAAGTCTTTCATATGTAGCAACATGCAGAGTACCCTAAAGTTTACTGAATTGTTCTTTGATTTCCTTTCCATGGTGCTCACACAGCAACATATACAAACTTATCAAATATGCTGAAAAGACAAGTTGGATGAAAAATTATATTTTTCGAAGACACTCTCTGTGGCACAGT